CTTCTGTTATTCTCTGCCTTGCTCTTTCTGTTCCAGCCACATTGATTTTCTTGCTGTTCTTCAAAGAAGCCAGACATGTTCTCCTTTCAAGAACTTTGCACTTTCTGTTTCCTCTGATCCAGATGTTTGCTTTTACCCAAAATACTCACGTTTTTCTCCCTCATTTCCTTCAAGTCTTTGCTCAAAACCACCCTATTAGTCCTTGACCCCTATTTTAAATTGCACTCTTAACCTTGTTTTGTTTTGCTTACCTGTTTTGTTTTGCTCCATAGTGGTTATCAATAGATGATGTACTATATATTTTATCTATTTATTTTCTGTTTCCTCGGTGCAATAGAATTTTCATTAGGGCAGAGCTTTTTGTTATTCAGTGATGCATCTCTAGTGCCTAGAAATATTCCTGGCACATAGCATTTAATAAAAATTTGTTGAATTATTGAAATATGTTACTTCATTTCTATAGGAAAGGACCATTAGTTTCCTTTTCCTGTTCCTACTTCCTCCCCTTAGCATAAAGCACTGTGTTAATAGGAAATCTTATATTGATTCCTACCAAAATTTTTAACACTATTGAATCTTGGAAATTATCCTTTTTTGTCTGTGATGGTAGTTGCTGTCTCTGTGTTGATTGTACTGTGGTGAGAACTTTGTGTGATTTCAGTCCTTTAAAATTTGTTGTTGTGTTTCATGGCCCAGAATATAGTTTCATTTTTGTAAATGTTACATGTTCTTTGAAAGGAAAATGTATTATATAGTTTTTAAGTGTAGTGTTCTACCTATATTAGGTTAACATTCTGTTCAAATCTTCTGTAGATTCTGAATGCTAGATTTATCAGTTACCGACAGTAATGTATGCTTAAAAATCTTTTAGTATGATTATCTATTTCTTTATTTTATTATTCTTAAAATTTTGGCTTTATATATTTTGAAGCTATGTTATTACAAATATGGAATATTTGTATCTTGCTGGTTAATTGAAACTCTTAATCATTATGAAATGTCCCTCTTTATGTCTAGTAATGCTTTTTGCCTTAAAGCCTACGTTTCCTGTATTAGTATAGTTTCAGAATCATCCTTTTGGTTTGTGTTGGTGTGGTATATCTTTTTCTAGCTCTTCAATCTTTCTGTGCCCTTAAATTTTAGATGTTTCTTTTTAGCAGAATATCAGATTTTAAAGAAAATCTAGAGTCACAATCTTCATCTTTTTATTGATGACCTAAATTTATACACGGGAAAATAATTTTACCTGAAAAA